CTGACGAGTTTAAAAGAAGGTTAAATATATTTTAATCATGTATCTCCAATCATATCTATATTTTGATGTGTATTTCTAACTTTAATCCTCATTTATAAATATAGATTACTTTCTGTTCGGGATATTTCCTCTGAGAGGCTGACTCAAACCATCTCTCAACAAAGTTACTCTGTTTCGGATGAGTTAGAGAAGGGCATTGCTGAAGTTAAAATAATTGCCCAATTAGTGGAGTCCATGCAAGTGAATTAACTCTTTTTATCTTCTTTCTTTGATTTTTCAAAACACCTTCTTTTCTATTTGTTTTCTTTTGAGATTTCAGCCATTGCTTCTTCTATTTTACTATATAAAAATGTCATTAAACATTTAGAATATAATGAGTTTTTATTTTACATATAATCCATTTGCATAAATATGTATAGTTGAAAAAATGTTAGTTTTTATAATATTGGATGGAACACATGCCAGTTTTGTGTTTTCAGTGAAATCGTTGCAAACTTATGTTAGTTTATTTCTTCGTATTAATGCATAGAAAGTAAATATACTAACCACTCTTATCATATTGAATACTAACAAATCTCTGCTTTGGCTGTGCACACTTTCTCCAACCTAAAATTGCATTCTCCATCTTATGAGTTTATGAGAATTTTCTGATGGAAACACAAACAGATAGTATAGGTTGCTCTGTCCCTGCCTCACATTTTGTGAAATCTTCCCCTTCCGACACATGCCAGGTCTGTTTATTCACTGGAATCGTTGGCCCTCATGTTAGTTTCTTTCTTCATATTAATGGACACAAGGGAAATATAGTAACCACTCATACTATATTGAAAATTTACTTCAAACTTAAAATGTTAGTAAAATAACACTTTCCTTAAACAAAAACTGTTATAAATATGGAGATTCGGCTATGTTTTACATTTCATACTTAACATATATGAAATATGAAAACTCTACAAGGGGGCGTGAATTCACAGATCTTCCAACAAAAAACCCCCTAATGTCAGTATGTTCAGTTCTTGGCATTCTTAAGAGTAGCAGCTTCAGCAATAGAATTTCGTTGGGTAGTGCGATTAAACAAACTTTTACGTTTAACAGTTGTCATCTCTTAAAGACAGTCCAGCCAGTCCGAACACCGTGCCTTTCCATGTCGACCCCTTTGGTTCCCATATTTCCTGCCTCTTCGTATATATTGCTATATCATTTCCAAAGCGGCCAACTCTGTTTTTACTGAGAATTCAGTCAACACAGGCCAAATTATGTATTAAGTCACACAAAGTGGTATCAACTATCATGGGAGCAACTGTTGTATTTATTCATTTCCATTGAATTGGATACCTTATATTCCATAAGAACACACTTAACTACTAAACTTGCTATAAATTAAAGAGATCCGTCATGAAAAAGTTATATATTATGAGTTTATGAGTATTGTTTGCTGGAAACACAAACATATCGTATATTTTTGTCTGGCCCTGTCACAGGTTATTAATTTATTTAAATACATTATGCACTTTTACATTTCCTCTTTGAAATAATTTTTTATTCCTGGCAGTCGATACCTGGTAAATACTTGCTGCCCATATGACAGACATCACTTCCTTCTTCTGTTTCTGCCTGTGCTTTATTCGAATAGACTCAAAAACCAGTTTAGGTTAACCATCATGCAGCTGAATATCTTTCCATTGCAATAGTTATCTTCTAATAGCCTATATCCATAGGCAATTGCCAAATAAATGCTGGATTTTTTCAATTGCTTGATCATCACATAAACAACAACTATGTCTGTTGTAAGTATAATCTGCATTTGGCCTAATCTTTCTTTTGTGAACAATCTCTTTTTAGTTGCTAGACAAGCAATGAATCCGTGCTATGCCTGTGCAATGTTGCTCCACATTACACTTGCATTCTCCAACAGACAAGTTTATGAGCATTTCTCAATGGAAACACAAACATATTATATAGATTGGTCTGCCCCTACCCCACATGTTGTGAAATCATCGCCTTTCGTTTTACATACATTATTCCACTTTTCTTAAGCACTTACTCCATGCAAATCTATGCATGTCATACTTTATATGTTCACCTGTCAAATGACATATTGGTTGACATCCATAATTTATGTTATATAAAATATGCAAATTATATATTATTAGTTTTTTTCCCACATATACGCTATCTCTATAAGTCACGATTTAAAGTTTAATCGTTTTATTAAACAGGAAGGTCCTTGTTGATTGTCGCAAGTATAAAAAATTTAGAGCTTGGAAAAGGATGGTCGTATGTCAGTTGCAAGAAGTGCCAAAAGAAGGTGGATAAAGTAGGAAAAATTTATCAATGCCCAAACCCCAAATGCAAAAATGAAGATAACTCAGCAGTTATTAGGTAAAACCATCAACTTTATTTCCTTAATCCATCGTAAATGTATATTTATATCTCAAATATTTCCTGTGCAATTAGGTACAAGCTTCAGGTTAGGGTAATGGATACTACTGGATCTGTTTCCCTATTACTTTGGGACCGTGAAGCAATGTTTCTCATAGGCAAATCCGCAAAAGAATTGAAGGAAGGATTTCTTGCGGTATATCAACTAATTATATTCATATTATTTATTTGAAAAATTCTAACCCAAAATTTCATTCTAGAATACTGGCGTTGTTGATAAGTATCCTTATCCAGTAGAGCTGAACAATGTTCTCGAAAGAAAATTCATGTTTAAGGTTATTGTGAAGAGCTCGAACATTCAATTGCAACAGGAAGTTTATAGTGTTGTTAAGCTTACGGATGAGGAGCAACTGATAAGGAAATATAGTCCTGATCCACCTTCATTTGACTTAACTGTATGTCATATATGCTTACAAAATTCATAATATATTTACATTGCAAATTTATTTTAAACTACATTATTTATATCATAAGTTGACACTTCTTTATTTATTATTTTGCGAAAGGACCCAGAATTCAATAACAATCAAGACTTTGATGGAGAGAAGGAATGTGAGGTAAATACGTCACCATTTTTAATTTGCCCTTTAAAATGACATAGACTTATATATCTCCACGGATCTGTTTCTGAATAAAATTTAAAGATTTATGGAGATTGTTTTATACCTTTAAAATTTTGTGAATGTTTCACTTTATCTATTCTATATGCAGCTGGAAACTCATTATTAATATTTATTACATTATTGATTCTTATACATGCATTTTTTCCTGCATATAGACTAATAAAGCTGTAGCACTTATAACTTCACTAATTATTTTCAGAATGCTTTGTATTTATATGTGCAGGATTCTACCGAAGAGAGCGAGTTAACTGATATTTCAAAAACACTTGCGAAGATGAGTTTAAACTAACGCCGCAACAGTGGTTGAAGAAGATCCAAATACACAGTTGTCAGGAAATAAAATCAAGAGAGTATTTAAGAAGAAGAAAAACAACATAATGTGTTTGTACATGTAACACATGGAGAAAACCAAAAAGTTCTTATTAGTTTTATTAGTACTTTATTAGTTATGAACATTGTATTTTAATCATTTCAAGTTATTTTTATTGTCTTTTACTTTTCTGTTTTACTTTAGTTTACACATTTTGTAGTATGGACAACATAGTTGAAGCTTTTCATCTTTCTTTTCTGGTAGTAAAGTCTGCCTATTCACCATCGTATACTTTTTGTTGCTGTACATTAATTATTTTATCTCATTTTCGATGTGAACGTATAAATAGTATATAATGAAAATGAATTAGTCATCTTTGTTCAATAACATTTTTAGATTTTGCAAATTATAAATTTCACTGCCACTCATCTTATGAATGCATATAGGAATATTAGAAGTAGTTCTCTTTATTTTTAATAAAGAAGCATTATAGTCATGACGTTCAATGATTATTTGAATATATCACTCTCCACAGTGTATCCCACTGAAACAGAAAATATATAACTGTTTTTACTCACTCCTTATGAATCATTTACACTTCGCAGGAGTTGTTCGTCGTCATCAACCAGCACGTTGGGGAATAGTTTCAAATTGGAGTTTTAAAATTATTTTGAAATAAGAAAACGAAAAATCTATTTATATATAATATACATATAGAAAATGAAAAAAAAAATTACCATATATATACATAGTAATTGATTACTTTATTTGAATTAATAAATATAGATATCGTATAATAAATATGATAAAAAACAACGAAAAATAAATATATAAAAAATAACTACCCATTCAAATTGGGTGGGAGTAGTTTCAAGTTTGAGTTTTTAAATTATTTTAAAATAAAAAGCAAAAAAAAAAAAAATTACCAATAAAAAACGAAAAAAGAGAAGAAAAACTACCCATTCAAATCGGAAATTAGTTTCAAGTTGGAGTTTTAAAATTATTTCTAAAATAAAAAACAAAATTAAATAAAATAATGAATTACTAATTCATATTGGGAGTAGTTTCAAATTGGAGTTTTAACATTATTCTAAAAATAAAATGAAAAATCTATTTATATATATAATATAATATAATATAATATAATATAATATAATATAATATAATATAATAATATAATATATGTATAATATATAATATATATAATAGGAGAGTCAAGGAAATCTATATCTATATATATATATATAATAGGAGAGGCAAAGAAATGTTATAATGACAAGTGTCATAATTTCTATACACAATATAATTATACTAAATATTGGATAATATAATAAATAAAAATATATAACAAAAAAATTATTTGATGACTATATAAGTCCCTTTAATTTAATGGAGATTTTATTTATTAAAATTTAGACAATATCTATTCTATTTATATAGAATAGGATACTCAAATAATTATGATAATTTCAAATGTAACATCGAAAAATTAACAAAGTAACTTTTTTTTAATATTGACCGCGCATCGCGTGGGAACGACTACTGGTAAAAAATTAAAAAAATAACACTAACTTCCCTATCTTTCTGCCCAACTCACAATTATCAGCCCACTCACGTCACTTTTCCCCTTTTTTTTGCCCAAACCCATAATATTTTCCCAACCCACTTTTTCATTCTATTTTTACCATACGAACAATTACTAGGGCATAAGTGAAATTGAGCAGTTGAGCTCTGTAAAGCATCGGCCTTGTGTTCCTCTTCAACTTAGGATTTCATTCTTCTTCTTCTCAATGTAAGCTCTAATCTTGCAGTACTATTTTGAATTTGGGTAATTTTTTTATATTCCAGTTATCTCTTTGTTTTTCAACTTGTAGAGCAAATTATCTTTAATTGAAATGGGAATCTGTTTTTAAGTTCAGGTGATAATTATAACTACTCCCCGATAACATCCTCTGCATTTAAAGTTCTGTATTTATATTCGAAGAATCATATTCAATTGGAAATTGACCTTTGATGAGCAAAGTTAGACATTCACCATGAACAGAAGGATAATTTATCTCTTTTTTCTCAATATGGATTGTGCTTTTTAAGTTTCATTGCTGTAGTCTGACCTTGCATCTCATTGGGAAAAAGGAAGGGGGGAATCCAAATAAAAATGGAAAAGATGTTGCTTCAAATATGGCCAAAATTCAAATCACAAAAGAATGTAGTCTGTTTTCTGAAAAAGCTTGAGAAACATGGTCAAACTGTGAATAGAAATGAGTTAGATTTTGAAGGAAATCTTATTTTTATCGGCACAATATGCTTCTCATATCTGGTTGTGATTGTATTATAAAATTTTCCGGTGATATAAGAATTCTAACTTCCTCTTTGATTGTATTAATTGGAGGCAAAAGAAAACCATTTTTTTGGTTTAGCATTCTCAGTTCCTTTCTATGTATTCAAACGATAACCCTTTGGGATACTTGTAAGATTAGTGTCTTATGACAAGTGTGGGAATCTTGGATTAAGATTGAGATTTGAGTATAAATATGTTATGTGCACTAGGTGTAATTGAATTTGTTCTGTCAAAATTTCACTAGAATTATCATTGTTGGCTTACTAGATTGTGCTAAATTGAAATTTCTTATAAAAAACTCCCATCATCACTTAATGATCCTTCGATAGTAGGAGAAAAACAAATTTAAAATATAATCAAAGTTAGTTTTTTCGTTGTTTCCGTTATAGCGTCCCTAGTTCTTCTACTTATCTTGAAAAAAGACTATTGTTGTAGAAAAAGTCTAAATTATGGTCTTCAAAATAAATAAATTTTTTGAAGCAAAATTAGGAGATATCCACTTCCAGTAATAACCATTTCGATATGTATGTATATCATAATTATGGTCTAATTAACTGTTCTATAGCTTATAAAAGAGAAAGGGAAAAGGAAAAGTAACAAAGGTATATCTTAAGCAGAATCTACAAGGTTTGTTTGCATTTAGTTTTGGAAAAGCTTTTCTGCGACTTATGTGTTTCCATTAGATTTTGATAAAACTAATGATAAAATTTTCTATTCTTTTACCAAAGAGCTTAAAAATATGCTACTTCACTGATTTGCTATGCAGTCATGGATGAGATTTATTACCAACATGATGACATATAAGTGAAGCTATACTGATAATTCTGCTAATTGGAGTTTGGTTTGACCTCATTTGTGTTGCTTTAAGTACTACATCATGAGTTAGACTCCATACTTAGAGCCCCTTAGTTATAAGAATCATGTTAACAGAGAACTTGAAGTAAGTGATGACTTCGTTCGCGTGCTATGTGCTACCAGATGTTGAAACAATTAGAAAATCACGTCTTAGGCCTAGTTATTACGTCCTGCGATGTCTGATTTATGGACTCTTTTCATTAATAAATAAGCTCATGAATTATGTTTAAGAATCTAGAAATACATCTTATTGTCTTTCATGATTTTATCACTTCCTGTACCCCCACGTGTGCGTCCTCTACATAGATATCATATTATTAGAATTAATGGAACTCACCTCTAATATGAGATCATTAGGCTTGTGATTCTTTATCCAGGCACCTTTTGGGAATTACACTTAGTTCATATCTCATGACTTTTAGAAACAATCTAGACTTTGACACCTTTTGGTTAAGTGATTGTTAATCAGTAATTTATGATTTTCGGAAAATATGCTATGTGCATTCATATATGCATGTGTAGTTTGGTTGGCAGAGGCCTGAAGTGATTTATTTGGACTGAGTTCGGCGTCGCCTGTGAAAAAATTCCAAGAAGGATTATTAGAAGTTATTAGTTCTTTTAATCCGCTATGTAATAGTCTTACAATGACTTGGATATAATAGTGAAAAGCGGATTGGGGGCTGGGAATTGTCCACATTTATGTGCTACTTGTTGTTTTAAATTTCCTTACTAAATTCTTTTTACTTTCAAATAGTAGTACCATGCCTGTAGAAATTAATTAATAATGGAAATCAGATTTGGTCTGTGTTTCAATAAGTGTAAGTAGTATCTTATGCTCTCTAGATTCAAAATCTTCCCCTTTTCTTTAAAATATATATATATATATATATATATATATATATATATATATATATATATATATATTTCTTTGAGTTCATTTCAGGTATAAAAGAGTTCTATCTTGATGATAATTTTCCCTTTTCACATATATCTTCTGGTCCATTTGCTTAGAAAAGAAGATCTTGTTGTATTATTTTTGGTGTATGATTCAACACATCCTTCTTCTTTCCTTCTTCCATACAAAGCTAAGTTAGAGAAAAGTTTGATGGTAGAGAACTTTGGTGCGAGATATACAGAGTATGCAAGTAAAGTTAGATACAAGCTTATTCCTTTTGTTTTTTAGTGCTAGTTGTTGTGAGTCGCATAAACTGTAATGCGGAAAAAGAGAATGAGAATATGAACACCTTAATTGGCTTTTGTTCTTTTGTTTCATATGTAGTTCCCCTGTTGCTTTTTTTCTTTTGTGGGGATTTTCGGTTTATTGAACTTGTTTTTAACTTACTGAAGGCCACTTGTATCCTCATGGCGCAGCTTTTCTGCATTGCTCGTTACCATTGTTGAACAATTCATGAATAGCTTGACAGAGATAATCTTTCCTGTTTTCAGATTCTTAAAAGTTTAGGTTTGAATATTCCACTATCTTGGTAGGTTGTGCCTTTATAACATGTTAGAAGACTTGAGAGAGTTAGGCTTTTTCTCCATAGTGTAGCCTTTAATGTATCTGATCTTTCTCCTTTAATTAGTTGTTTAATTTTTGTTACTAAACCGGCATAAATGTGTTATTTAACAGATCAAAAATTTGAAGTCCAAAGAACCTATCCTTGAAGCAAGTGGAGAGCAAGTTGAAGTACAAGATATTTTTGGTTTGTCAGAGATGGTTTAAAGACACTGTGTTATGTACATATATGCTGCAATTTTACTTTTTTTTGTTTTTAGGAATTGTTAAAAATGATGTCTTACAATTTGGATTGATTTCTGGTAAATATGATACTTTAGTTCTTTGTATTAACAGGATATTAAGTATTTGGTTTCTTTTCAAATGTTGTTGACCGTGCATGAGAGCATATAAATAATTATTACTATTCATGTAATTTAAATTTTCGTAATTATATTTATTATATTTTGATATTAGCAAAGAAAAATGTGGTCATTAAAACTCTTTAACGACAGGTTTCTCAAACAGATAAATAACTATTAATGAAGAAAATTTTGGTTGTTAAAAGTAATTATACAGTTAACGAAGGGAATATCGGTCGCTAAAAGCACTTGAATTGCCTTAATTAGTTGTTGTCATTAAAGACTTTTAACGACCGGATAACAAATAAGCGAGGGGAAAATCCTGTCGCTAAAAAGCATGTATAACGACCGAATATTATGCCGTCGCTAAAGAACCTTTAACGATCGGATTGTAAACCGGTCGTTAATTTTTAACGTCAGAGGCTCATATCCGTTGGTTTAGCAAACCCTGTTAAGGGGTAGATTATATTTGTCCACTTTTACAAAGATAAGGAATATTTTATATTCAATAGTATAGATAAGGGACAAAAATATTCCTATAGGCATAGTTAAGGGATTTTCTCTGTCTTTTCCTCAGTTTTTGTTGAACCAAAAAGGACTTTAAAATTTGAAGAAAGCATAATCAATAATCTCTCAGATAACTACAGAGGAAATTACCTACTAGCTCAGTGCAACTTCGTAAATTAAACCGTATAGCTAAATAGTGAAGTCCCGACTCTCACGTACATAAGGGCAGAGGTACAAGTCATTTCATTTGATTATTTTGGTGAACCAAAAAGGACTTCAAAATTTGAAGAAAGCAGCATCAAATTAGTAGAGTATTTTACTTTCACATCTAACCGTCTATGGTAATTGAAGAAAGAAGAATCAATAGTTTCTTAGATAACTACGGAGGAACGTACCTACTAGCTGCAATGCAACTTCGAAAATTAAACCGTATAGCAAAATATTGAAGTCCCACATACATAAGGGCAGACGTACAAGTCAATTGTTCATTGACTTGTTTCATTTGATTATTTTGGGAGTTGAATTAGCCTGCCTTCTAACTTTTCTCTTTTGGGTCCATTCAGCGTTAAATCCTACGTTTATTTCCCACCACTTTTGCTATAGTTGAAATTCTAGACTTAGCACCATGCAAGTTAAGAGTCTAGACCAATTCAAAATCCTTTCCCTTATATAAACAGAGCCAAATTGTTCTAGGCATCTCATCCTCCTCTACCAAACTAGCAATCAACTCCCTCAGTTGTAATAGGATCTCTTTTTAATAAATTAAATCTTCTCTCGAAAAGAAAAAAGTTATCTAAAAGCAAAAACATGGACAAAATGTTGTGTGTGATTGTCTTTGGTGCTTTAGCCGTCGCAAGTTTGGTGCAAGACACAACAGCCCAAACGGTGCATGTGGTTGGGGACAACATAGGTTGGACCATGCCGAACAATGGAGCTGTAGCTTACACAAATTGGGCTGCTGGAAAAACCTTCAGTGTTGGCGACACTCTAGGTACACTTAATTTCTCATTCCATTTTGCTTTTGAGATATCCTTAAGCTTAAAGCCTTAAACTAAATTGAGTACCTTATCACGTTACTTTTCTTCTTTTTAATTGACAGTTTTCAATTTTGGGACCAACCAACATGACGTGCTACAAGTACAAAAAACTTCGTTCGATGGGTGCAATTCCCAAAACGCCATTGGCGATCCCATAATGGCAGGACCAGCAAATGTAACTCTTGACTCTGCTGGTGCTCACTACTATATTTGCACTTTTGGCAGACATTGCCAAAATGGCCAGAAATTAGCTATTACAGTTTCTAGCACCGGTACACCTGGAGCCAACCCACCTGCCCCGAGCAATCAGACCACTCCAGTCGTTCCTTCACCCTCCTCTTCCACTCAACCGGAAGCTTGTGCACCTACCTCGGCTGCTGCTGGACCTTCAAGTTCCACTCCTGGCGGTGGTGGTGTTGCTCCTCCTCCTCGTTCAAGTTCCGCTCCTGGTGGTGGTACTCCTCCTCCTAGTTCATCCTCATCGACCGTGCTGGCCAGTTTTCTGCTTGGTCTATCCTCGATTGTCTTGGCAGCTTTTCTTTAAGTTGAACAAGTTGAGGAGATTGTTGAGCTTCCCATTTATTGCACTGGAGTTTATACTACTATAAAACCATGTGACGGATGTATTTTTATTTTTTTGTTTTCCCGTTTGTATTGAATTCAGTTTTGTTACATTCGCTGATTGTCTTAGTGATATTTTGTGAGTTCAATAAAATTATAAGTACGTCTTTCTGCAATAATCTGTGCAGATATTTATTTCGCGGCATGTCTTTTGTTTATATGTCCCCGTAGTATCGCAAAAATAATCTAAAACAAAATAAGGTGTATAATTCTGAAATAATTCCTACCAAGCATGTAATCATGCTGACATAACTTTTACCATGGTAACTCATGTAAAAACTTACTTGCACAAGTATTTTGTACTAAATCATTGAATGCAAGAAATAATATACTCCCTCCGTTCCAATTTATGTGAACCTGTTTGACTGGACACGGAGTTTAAGAAAAAATAAAGATTTTTTTTGAAATTTATGGTTCTAAACAAATCAAAAAGGAGTCCAGAGTAATTGTGTGGTTATAAAAGCTTCTCATTAAGGGTAGAATTGGAAATTTAAGCTAAATTGTTTCCAAATTTAGAAAGAGGTCGTTCTTTTTGGAACGGACCAAAAAAGAAATAGGTTCACATAAATTGAAACGGAGGGAGTATTACTTAATCATGGTTAAGCGATAAATATTTAACTGTTAATGTTAAATTGTTCAGTTTAATGTAAAGACATGCGGAAACGAATAAATATTTGAAGTAAATTACATGAATGTTGAGTTCAAAGATTTTTTGTACCACAGTTTTGGTTCCTAAATAGTAATCCTAGAAGGTTTAAGAAGATTATAAATGTAGCGTTCTCAGGGGTACTTGAAGATTTTAGCCTACTTCCTGATTTACTCTGCCCCATATTAGTTGCTTCATTACTTTTAAAACAACAATTGTCTGTAAAAATCCAAAACGATCATGTATAAACTAAAGAAATTTTATATTTTACCGACCTCAATATTGCTACTAATTTTCTGGACAGCTATACAATATTAGTTCCCGACTAAATACTCCCTCTGTCTCGATGAACTAGCCTTACTAACTTGCATTCTCTGGAACAGAAAAGTTAAACTTAGAACATATCACAATATTGGATCTTTAGACACGAATTTAAAATTATATATTGTTAGAATGCAAAAAATAAGCTAGTAACTAAAAAGATATCACATTAAGTTTGGAACAGAAAAGGGATAATCAAATGCATAAAATATCCCGCATTTATGTAGGGTTCGGAAAAGGATGAGGAGTAATTTTGCTCTAATGCATGGATTAATGACAATATAAAATAAAACTGGTTTATATTATTTTGAGTTGTTAGTAGCAGGAACATTTGCTCTAAAAGTTTTCGAGTCAATCAGAACATAACTCAAATTTACAGGGAACAGAGAAATTAGGGTGTGTTTGGTACGAAAGAAAATGTTTTCCTAGAAATATTTTTCATGGAAAATGTTTTCCTGGAAAAAGTTTTCATGGAAAATGAGTGATTTTATCACTTATTTTTTCTTGTTTGTTGGTGAGTGAAAAACTTTTTCTAGAAAATATTTTCTAGTTTTTGGTTAGATAGTAGAATTTTTTTTTTAGAAAAATATTTTTTTATGCTACTCTCCTCACCCCCTTCCCCAGAGTCCCCATGTTTCCTTGCTCCCCCCCTCCCCCCAAACAAATACCCAATGTTTTCATGACTCTATTTTCTTCAACAATTTAATTATTCTTCTAAAGATTCACTCAAACCCAAAGTAACTAATGAGTTGCTCTACTTTTTTCTGAAAACAACATTGAAATTTATGCTCCATAACTATAAAGAAAGTATTCTTTTTTTGGTTGAAAAAGAAAGTACTCTTTCTACAACATGAAAATAAAGTACTCATTTTATTGAAATAAAACAAAAATACTTTTTTTTACATCATGAAAAGATAATACTCTTTTTGTTGAAATGAAAGAAAATACTTGTTCTATGAAAAGAAAGTACTTTTTTTGCTGAAATAAAAAAATACTTTTTTATATCATGTAAAAAAAAATACTCATTTGTTGAAATGCAAAAAAAAAAAAATCTATCTATTATATGAAAAGAAAGTAATATTAATAATATTTTNTATCCATAATGGAAAAGAGCATTATTTTATTTAGGGTAACAAATAGTATGGTAGGCCACAAATTGGGAGAATTTGCACCTACATTGAATTTTAGAGGACATGCAAAAGCGATAATAGATCTCGTCGTTAATATTAATAAAAAAAAATCTAGATGCTTATGATTCAGTAGTAGGAGGCAAACATTATGCTAAAGAAGAAAAAAAACAGAAGTATATGCTTTAGGTGAACATATATCTATGTCTGCTGACAAAGCACGAAGAGTAATTGATCAAATTCGCGGCCGTTCCTATGAGCAAACGCTTATGATGGGGGCGAGGGGTGGGTTGGGGTTGGGGTAGGGTGATGGGGTGGGGTGCGTAGGTGGGGTGTGGAGGTGTGTTGGTGAGATGGGGAATATGGTGGAGAAGATTAAAAAAGTTTTGGAAAATGTTTTCCCTTCTCTTGGTAGAGAAAACATTTTCTTCCAATTGGAGGAAAATGAGTTCATGAGAAAAATATTTTCCAAAATATTTAAGTCAATCAAACATTGGATAATTGAGAAATACTTTCCGGAAAATTTAGTACCAAACACACCCTTAGAGGAAAAAATGTCTAACTTTAATGTAATAGTCTGTTCAACTTTCTTTTCCTGATGTCTTTCAACCAACTTATTCAAAGGCTACCTTGTAAAGTCTGGTTACTTGCCTCAGTGTAGTTCTTTTATTACGCTATCATAGCATTGAGTTAAGGGAAAATTAAGATCCAAATTTGTCTGCACTACAGAAATGAGTCAATTTTATCATGTAGTATAATATTTCGGGTTGATTCATACCCTTGTCATTATAAAATTGTAGGAGTTCCA